GTGTTATTAACATGTTAAAAATGTATAAATCTCTGTGTTAAAGCTTACGGCATCTTCAAACTTATCTAGTTAACTTAAATAAAACAACTTACATTTAACTTACCCACTTACATATACATTTTTCTTTTACGTCAATGGGACACTTTGAATTTTAACAAAATGTCATTCAAAAGATCCCTATAATGTTAATATCGGAATAGTAATTTCGTGAAGATAAACTTTTTATGTAGTACACTAGAATAGTTTTTTGTAATTCCAGAGAAATTTTTAAAAAACAGACTTTGTTTAACAAAAATTTTTTTATGGCCGATCTAAGAAATAATGAAGTAAGTATTATACCACGTTAGAATCCTTATTAAATGCGCGAACTTTTAAAGCTGCTTGCCAAACTGGAGTAGTACATTTTTTTTTCAGGACGATCAGTTGAACTAGTGCGAAAAATTAATTTTGAAAACTTGGTACGGTATAAAATGACATTTTCCTACAAGTTGGAGTGATCGGCACAGGGTTTAGGATCATAGGTTACATAAAGCACTAATCGGGATGACGTAAGAGAAAAAAAATTGGCAAAAAGTAAATATTTGTAACAACAGGAATGAAAAAACTGTCACATGGTGTACATTTTCTGGAATAAAAGGAACATTTCCATAACTTCAAAAATACATGACTTAATTTTTCTGATAACTGGTGTGGCATTACCTATGAGAAAATTTCGACTTGACGTCGACTTTTGGGACACCCTGTATAATAAAAATAATTACTCCAACCGCGTATGAATGGGACCTCAAAAACTGCCGAACGGATTTTATATAGTTTTTACCATAGATAGCGTGATTCCTGAGGAAGGATTTAGTGTATAATTCATTTGTTTTTTGTAAATTGACGGTAATATAATGATTATTATCGAGGTGGCGGTACTTTTCTGCAATGGCATCTTGAAAAAAGTGTTGCCATCATACGAAACCAGAATAGCGCACTTTAAGATGTTGACATAAGAGAATCGTATAATTGTTATTATATGTAATAGGAGGCAAACGGGCAGGAGGCTCACCTGATGTTAAGTTACCGCTCATGGACACTCACATTGCCAGAGGGCTCGCAAGTGCGTTGCCGGCCTTTCAAGTCAGTTATTGATATGTCCTTGGCAATTAAGACATTAAACAATTTAACAGTCAGGTTGCCCGAACCTTTTAATTAAATTTAAATTTGTAGTAGGTGTATCTCTAGATACTGTATACTATAGCTATACTATATGCAATATACATATATATATGAAATAATAAAGATACAGGTTCAAATGCTACTTTAAAATATCACTTATATAATAATAAAATAATATACATTGAAATAAATAACTAAACTTAACATAAACTAAAATATATCATTAAAAGGAGTCCCTTTAGGCAAGGTTCCGAAGATACTGGCAGCGTTCCCCCTTTGAATTGCTAGACTAATTCTTTGTCCGAGGTAGCTGCCAGATCTTCGGTCTCCTGTGACGTCGACTAACCTTTTTTGAAATTTCTTTAAAAGCCTTAAAGCGCTAGGACCCCACGGACCAAGGGTCTCGACACCGAATGGGACAAAATCATATTCTGAGCCTAGACCCCTGTACTTGCATGCTTTATTTTTTTCAGCCGCTTCACAAGCCGCACCAGCTCTGTAGTTGGTTCCATGTAGATGGGAAGGGGCCAGCGTGTCTGTACAGGTTGCATCCCATACCAGTACCCGGCCCATCTTCCATGGAATCAAACTCATACCGTCCGGTCTCTTGCCATCGTCTCTTGCAATACCACTCGGCTCAAGTAGACTTGGCACGTTGACGGTGACAAGGGAACGGCGTATGATATCGTTAAGTGCGGCATGTCTCGAGAAGCGGCCTGCACTTTTTTGGCATGACAGGCCGTGATGTCCAAACTTGTCGACATCACTGCCACAGGGACATATATGAGGAGCGCAGACCGGAACCCCAAGCCGTAGACAGGTTGCGATTCGAAGCGTGTCAGGCTATGTGTGTGTTATGTTGGCAGGTGCCGAACTGCGAGTGGAGGCTATTTTAATATAATTACTATAAATGTATTTTCACGCTCTGAATCGTGGTAAAATTTGTAAGAGAACTTAGGGCGAGATTCAGAAACGAGACTTATGACGTTTTTGACCTGCGGGAGTCAGCGATAAGATTTGTTTCTACATCTTAGGGTTAAAACAATAGTTACGTGTTTATTATTACTATTAATAATTATAACTTTTTATGTAAAAATTGAATTTACAAATTAAATTATTGTACTTTGAATTAAAATAATGAAATGGAAATGGACAGGACACATTATGACAAGAGACAAAGATAAATGGACGGAATGGCTTCTTCGCTACGACAACCGAAAACGAGGAAGACAAATAAAAAGATGGGAAGATGGTATAAGAAGAGCAGCTGGCCCTATGTGGCTACGTATAGCTAGACATCGAGAAGAGTGGAAGCTCTTAGAGAAGGCCTAGACATAATGAACGAGTGTGTATTTTCAGGTATAACGCTAGATAAATTTTGTAGTTGGAAAGAACATATTGAAAAATTACAGAACAAAATAGACTGCTTTATTTTTGTGTTAAAACGACCAAGGAAAACTGTTAATAATACGGTATTAGCTGCTTATCATGCATATGTTTCATCTACACTTAGATATGGAATTATAGTTTGGGAAAATTCAGTCGAAGTAAATAGGGGAATTTAAGGCTCAAAAGAAATGTATTAGAGCAATTTGTGGAGCAGACTGTCTTGATTAGTGATCCCCAAAATCTGTCTTGTTCTTGCATTTTCGCAAGACCAAGACTGAAACATGCAAGACTTGAGCAAGACAATACTTAAGCCTGAAAGACTCTTGCGTCTTGCAGTTAAGACAAACAGATTTGGTTATTAACGCCCGAACCCAATAACCTATCTCAATCCATACTGCACCATCTGAGATAGTAATCTTAAACCAAATGTTGTAAAAGTGTGCCAATAACCAATCGACGGATAGCCATCTGTCGATACAAGCGTATGGGACCACCCATGGGAGGTCAGATCGGTGTCTGTGGATAGACCTTTGTATGAAAATGACAGTTGACGAAAGCTCGATTTCAACAGTTAATTATTTTAACAGATTTTAACTAACACCAGTTTTTTAAATAATTAAAAAAACTGTTTGTTATGTTTAAAGATACACATGAATATCTTATAATAATAGGCTAATAGGTATTTGCAATACTTGCAAGACTCTTTCTGCAAGACCAAATCCAAGAGCAGGTGTATTGACGCAAGACCAAGACTGACCAAAGTCTCGTCTTGGTCTTGCATTTGGGCAACACTAGTCTTGATAGTTGCGTACCTTTATTTAAGCAACTCAAAATTTATCTCTTCCCTGTGTGTATATTTCAGAAATGTCCTTATTCGTGCACAGAAACATACATATTTTTAAGTCGAATTTAGAATTTAGACATGGGAGAAATTGGCTGTGCGAAAAATCAATCTGGAACTGTTTAGGAAGAACACCTTTTGTATGGCAATTAAGGTTTACAATAATTTACCAAAAGATTTAAAAGATCTTCCGACTTAAAAATCGACTTGTTGTATTGCTTTTGGAAAAAATGTATTATTTCATAAATGATTATTTGCGTGAGACACTGTAGTTGATATAAATTTAATAACGTATGATATGATATGTACGACACAAATTATATAAGAACTGACCAATTCATATGACTAATAATGTAAAATTCCTTTGAAGACAAATATGTGGCAGAATATGCGAACTTACGATTGTACCACCTTACACATTTTTGTACCATATTCTTGCAATAAATTATTACTATATTATTAAAAATACATGTTTTATTATTAAACACACAAATATTGCGGAATTGGCTTATAAAACATAAAAAATTGACATTTGACGGCTCATTGGTCTAGTGGTTAGTACCCCTGACTGCGAATCCATGGGTCCCGGGTTCGATCCCCGGCTGAGACAAACATCGATGTGATGAGCATTTGGTGTTGTGCTTAGGTCTTGGGTGTTTAAATATGTATTTTATGTCTATCTATAATATGTATGTATATCCATTGCCTAGTATCCATAACACAAGCTTCACCAGCTTAGCATGGGACTAGGTAAATTGGTGTGAATTGTCTTTAAAAAAAAAAAATATGCAGTATCCTTTACACGTCATATTTAAAAATATAGAAAAATCTATACATTCTGTACTAATAAGACATGAGATGACTGCTATATTGATATTTTTAAATTATTTAGTACTTCGGTAAGAGATTTTATGGAATCACAATATGTATGATTATTCCGTCACCAATAACGATTGCAAAGAAATATATTTAATTGAAATAATGATTTAATATTTCTATTTATAATCTAGTTGTGTCGTTTATTTTTATTGTATTATTTCTTTTTTCTTTTATAATTGTAATTGCCTTTAAATGTCGTGCACACTCATGCACATGCGTGTATTGTGTTTTTTGTATGTTCTGTGTTCTCTGTAAGTGTTTGTATGTGTTATATTTGCCCCTTAAATAAATAAAAACTATAATGAAAAGCGTTAGTCAGTTTTTCAATGATCTTAAAGCTAAATTGATAAAAAAAAATGCTTACGTAACAATTATCATGATTTTCTAACGAATTTAACTTGCACTTACATGTTAATTTCACTAACACAAAGAATCAACTGCATAATTTATCTGGTAACCATAGCAGACCAATAAAAAATATGATACTTATGATAAACAAAAACACCATAGCACGCATATAAGATGTTATATACACATTAATAACACTTATTACAAGGGAAGAAAGTCGAATTTAGAGTAACAAAACGTGAAATAGCATTGCAGAAATGCAAATTCGTTCTCTATATATACAGCTATCATGGCGGTGGCAGGACAGTCCCTACCGGTGCGCTTCCCGCCAAAACTCCTGTCAAAGGTGTTGTCACTCTAAAAATTTCTTTTAAGAATAAAAATGAGTGCTCTCCTATTAGTTGCTCTATGCGCGTTTATCGCGTACAAATTTTTCTCAAGAAAAACAGTTATTGTCTATAAAAATACAAAACATGGAGTGGAAAAAGTTGATTTAAAAGAAGCACCCGGGCCTCTACCTTTGCCAATCATGGGGAATCTACATCTATTAGCAAAAAATGAGTCGCCATTTCAGTCGTTCACTGAATTGGCTAAAAAGTACGGTGACATATTTAGCATGAAATTGGGCAGTTCTCAGTGTTTAATAGTGAACAATTTAGAACTTATTCGCGAGGTTTTGAATCAAAATGGGAAATTCTTCAGTGGAAGACCAGACTTTCTGCGTTTCCACCAGCTCTTTGATGGGGACAGGAATAATTGTAAGTATTATTTTATAATAGTATTTATTTACGTGAAGAAAACTTTTAAAAGTTTTATTAAGGTTTTTATTTGGGCGTTCATTAAAATTAGCCCTAGAATACATATTCTAAGTCTAATAAGAGCGTATAGATTTTGTTTAATACATTGATTGACTTAGCAAGATTTTCGCCTGGAAAAATTTTCGCGAATTTAGTAAGAAGCCTAAAAGCGACTCCTGCGCCTTGCCATTACCAAGAACCATACAGAAAACCATACAAACAATAGGACACGCTTGGGTTGATTCCTGAGTGCAGTTACATAATTAAATGCTTAATATTGCAGAGTATATTTAATTCATGAGTATTACGCTCTATTTAATCGAACTGATTCCATATTCTACAATTTTTTATTGTGCCTAAGCAAAGTCTAAAACAATAAGCTGACATGACGGAACTTACCATCTCGGTATACAACCTCTTTGATACGTTTAAACAACTTTTAATAATCTGTGCGTTCTAAGTGCGCTGTTTCACAATGGTGTAATAATGGTTGTATGTTGTTATGATTTTTGAGATTCTGGAATATTCTTGACAGAATAAGATTGCATAATTCAGTAATATATTATAATTTTCATATTATATTCATAAAATATTGATTATTTTGGTATATGTTGGACTAGTGGCTTCAGGGTGCAAGTCTCATCTCTGAGGTCGTAGGGTCGAACCCCACACATGGACTTTTATGTGCGCATTTAACACTCGTTCGTACGGTGAAGATATTGTAAAGACACCGGGGTGATACACCCAAAAAGTCAACATGTGTCAGACACAGAAGGCACACACTACGAGCCTATTAAAAAGAATATCACGAAACAGATACAGACGTGAGGCCCAGACCCAAAAATTTCCTCACCATATCCTATCCTGCTCCTATCCTTTGTAATTCTTGTATTTCTTATTCTTTTGTATTGCATTGTAATTGATGAATCCGTGAGATTAGCTTATTATTTATTTTAGATACATTTTATGTTTGTTGATTTGGTTATGCACTTCAAGCACTTTACCCTTAATGTTTATTTTTTAGATTATTCCTTACTAGGAAGAGATCGCTTGGTAGCAATAATTTTAATGTTATTGGTTTTTCTTCTAATGTAACGAAATATAAATGGAATTATTATAATTTTATATATATTATATTATAGCCTCTTTTCGGACATGACAGTATTATTTCTTTATTTTTCGTAGATTGTTCTTTTACCTGGGTTTTGATTGAGTGTTGTTTTTATAATTTTATAAGGAAATTAAAAAAGGAAAAGGAATAAAAAAATAAGAATAATAAGAAGTTCTAAAAAAAAGAAATACTATACATATATTAACGATGGAACAATTTATATTTGTATTTATGGTATTTTTGATATATAAATGTTTTTAATTAATTTATGAGTCGGAGTTGATAAGCGCCACCTCAAAAACATTTTGCACACGAAACATTATGTAAATTTTTCTTATGTAAATCAATTCTTTATATACGCAAAGAATATCATGCCAACACTATTCCCCACCATAACCCTGCCAGATTTGACATTTTCCACCTACCAAAGACACTTTTCTATTACAACACGCGTTTATAAGTTATACACGTTTAAACTTAAATTACACGCAATGTAACATATGCATCATATTTCATGGATATTAGAAAATCAAGACGATGTGGGTTTTTGTTACATTTAGTTTGAGTCATAGGTTGAAGCGGGGGCGAATTAAAATCCTGAAGAATGTTGCTAAACCTTTGTAGTGCTTCAATATACTTGTAAATATTCGCCGTCGTCAAAGCATGCGTCGAATGAGTTATCTTGCTTTACCTAAAGTACGTACGAACTACGGCAAAAATATGCAAAAAAATTACCTACGAAGGCACACAGCTGTATAAGAAACTACCCACAAATATAAAAATATTACTTCTTTCAATTCATTCGAAGCTAAGTGAATATGTAAGACAAAATTACTTTTAAATTAATTTCTTATAATTATTTTTAATTCATATTTCTTTGGTTACTTTTAAGTATTTTGCATGTACGACTATCTTTTTATTGTGATTATTTTTAGATCGACTACAACGTTATGTTAATCTAAAATATTATTCTCATGTAAGTGAAATTTTTTGTCTTTTTTGAGAAAATAAAGTCTAGGTTAATATAGGTTATATTCACGAGTTTGTACGTCATATTGACAATTGCTGTGGTCGCATCAGTTCTTCTACAAGTAGTACACGTTTGCTATGTTTCGGGATGTACCCGGGATGCTGTTTTCTTAGAACAGGGGGCAAACAGACAGGGGGCTCATCTGATGTTAAGTGCCACCCATTGACACTCAATGGCTCTAGCACTCTAGGGCTAGTGTATTTCCGGCCATTTTAGAATTGGTACCCTATTGTCTTGAGGGACCCTAAGTGGTATTCAGCTGACTCCTCACAGCTCAGCTCAGACGGGCAGGTGGTTCCACTCAGCGGTGCGCGGCAACATGACTTCATTTTAGTTGTAACTTCATGTCGACAAACGTCGAGGTGATATGGCATTTCATACATATTCTGCCTCGACGTCCATTTTTACACGCTTTATATTAGCTTCACCTGTATGTATGTATGCATGTGTGCCATATTTTTCGTCTATCGAGCAACCCACGCTTTTTCACAATAATACCAGTATTTTTTGTTCATTACCATTTTCAGCCTAAATTAGGAATTATTTTTCACTTTTTAGTTTGATGTGCTTTAAAAGCGTGTTTTTTAGTTTTTTTAAACTATATTAATTTTACTTACTTATCTCGGGGTGCCCTCAACCCACTATATAGCTTATAGGTACATTACAGGGTAAAAAGTTTCTCCCCATATGATTTTCTGACAAAATCCCCCTTCGAACTTCCATAAAACTAGTAGTAGACTTGGCCTGTCAACTGTTAGCTAACATTTTTATTGAGTTTATAGTCCGACGCTAGCTATTCCTTTCATACTTCGACTATCAACATTTAGCTATTGTTATTCGATGCTTAACGTCAAAAATCTTCCTCACGATGTTTTCCTTCACCGTTCGAGCGAATGTTAAATGCGTACATAAAAAGAGAGTCAATTGGTGCACAGCCGGGGATCGTACCTACGCACTGCTGCTTCTGCTAAAAGCTTTTTGCTATAATAGTATAGAATACTATTAAAGCAAAAAGCAAAATGTCTACCGCAAGTTGTTTTTGTAATAAAGAGGCGAATACTTATAATCTATGGACTAATATTTGACGTTTTTATTTGAATTTCTAGTTTAGATCAGTTTTCTTTTTTAGTTCTATTAAAATTATTTTGAATTTATCATAGCGTACACTTGCACCACAACGCGTCGTGGTAGTTAGTAATTAAAATATTCCTATTACAAGGGCAAATCTATGTTATTAGGTCAAGTTAGCTGTGTTCCATTTCTCTAGATTACAGTAATTATTATTACCTACATAATCATGGTGACTACACTCCGAAAAGTTGTCGAAACTTTTACCTGAATGTGACTTGTCGTGACGAGTATCGACGACTTATATTAGCGACTCACCCCGGCTTCATCCGAGCCCGTAAACCTTGAAAAATTGTGTACTTAACTAAAACTTTGTCAATCATTCTAGATATTGGTGAAAATCGCAATAAATTCCGCGTTTGATTTATCGCGAACAGATATAAACGCGGAGGATTTTTGAAGTTATATACTTCTTTTGGCACGTTAGGGATGATGAGAGTAAATTTTTACGTTGCGCGCGCGCACCGTCACAAATAACCCACACCCTGAAGTTAGCGTAGTCAACATTTTAAAATAAAAAATGTCCATATCTTTAATTGTGTAGAATTTTTTTAACATATTTAAATAAGCTTTATTTAACTAGTTAATGCGTTATAATAAAACTTTCAATGTATTAAATACCTTTTTTCTATTACATATTAGTGTGTTTTTTCTACAAACGTAGAATAAGGCGAAAGATAAAAAAAATATCTTCTTACGCCAAAGAAGTATAACTTCTAGCGCGTGTACATAAAGTACACACACATGTTTTTTTTAAATATAATATCAAAGTTTGACATATGCTGTTTTTTGAAAGCTCTCCCTCCCCCTTTGTCTAGAACTCGAATCATAAATATCTCAACTTTAGTGCGTTTTCTTTTCAATGCAATTCCGACTACCACGAAAAAATCTTTTCATTTTGGGGTAATGTATAGCCTGAGAGCAGTGTTGGCCTACTATCTTCAGCGTGCGATTCTTTTCCCTGTGGTCATAGCTTCGATCCCAGGCTGTGCACCAATGGACTTTCTGTATTCGCGCAAGGACGGAAAATATCATAAGAAACGAGCAGAAGTTCACCTATGTTTGCCGAGTTTGCAACATACCTCACGAACTTCTGCTCTTCAAACAACGGAATCGGGTAGCATCCTTGATGCATGGTGTTATGCATAACACCAATGGTATCCTGAATGTATAACAAAGGACACGCACATCTTAATACATTGGTATGCTGTCCATGTAGCAGTTTTTTTACTTTAGTTTACTAACCAGTAGCAAGCTAGACCGAATAGTTACCAACTCTAACCATAACTACATATTTATCATATCAATTACGTAAATACGTATGTCATAAAATAGCTGCCCACGACACAGTGAATCCTAGGGGCTAGTGCACTTTCTCATTTTTATTATACAAATATTCTTTATTATATGGATATAATCTCAAATAAATAAGTAGTTATTTTTATTCATTTCTGTAAAATATTCTGAACCTAAATAGATAATAATAATATTTAAATATGGATAACTAGAACTAATTAATAAATAGTGTACTTCATATTATATATATATACTAGCAGACCGGCCAAGCGTTGCTGTGGCTAAGGTTTTTGTTATATTACATATTAGTAAACTATTCAAGGGAAACGGTAGGAGAACACCAGTCACGGGGACCACCATGCTTTATTGTTGGTTATGACATTAAATTATAGCTTATGTGAAACGTTGGTACTTTCAACACAGCGCCATCTGTTAGAATTGTGACTGTTAAAGAAATATTTTGCAATAAAATAATATTGCGGGTATAAATTGAGATGTAAGCTAGCCTATCTTTTAAGTTTAATCAAACTGCACACGGTGTGCAAATTTGATTGATATCGGGTCGGTAGTTTAGGAGTCCATAGCGGACAAACAACGTGACACGTTATTTATATATATTAAGATATATGACCTTAAATGTTTTGCGATGACAAAGACAGTG